TGGTGGGTGCTAACCTTTGGGTCCTGAGGAGCCCTGGTGGCAGAGTGACTACAAGCTGGGCTGCTGACCTCCGGTCAGGGGAAACACAAGGCTCTCTACTCCTGTGGAGTTCATCTCTAGGGGATAGAGGGAAGGTGATATCAAAGACTTGTACAAGGATACCGATCTAACTGAATTATGGATTGCTATCATATCTGTAAGCGCTCCCAATAAAATGCTTTTTTTAAGGAGAGTGCGTCTTGGAAACCCTCAAAAGCAGTTCTCTCCTGCCCAAGAGGGTCCCTACGAGTGAGTCGGCATTGATTCGATGGCCGCCAAGCTGGTTGCATTTGAACCTTGGGATCTAGCTGCTGGGAAGTGATCGGTTTGAGACCACTGGCTGCTCAGAAAAAGCTGGAGATCTTTCCCAGAAAAGACTCCACTCACTACCATCACGACTCACAGCAACCCTATAGGACAGACCCTGTGGGACGGAGGACTGTTAACTCTTTGTGGGAGTAAAATCTTCCTCTTTCTCCCAAGTTGCGGCTGGTGGTTTTCAACTGCTGACCTTGAGGTTGGCAGCCCGACAGTAACCACTAAGCTACTAGGTCTCCCCACCCCCACCCCCTATCAAGATTGCAGCCAGAAGCCCCTAGGGTTCAACTGTCTCCTGGGTCACTATAGTGCGAAATGGATTTGGCAGCACCTAAGGGCACCCGGCTGTAATGACCCAGCCTTGAATGTGACAGAGGGACTTTTGTCACTGGCCGCCACCTCCAGCCAGTCACCCTCCAATCCCACCCCCACCCCCACCCCCACGGCCTTCTACCAGAACCTCCCAGACCCTGCCGAAGAAAGCACACATCTGCCCTGGGAGTCGTTCGGCCGGAATGCTCCCTAGAAGAGGGCAGACAGTCGTCAGCCCTCCTTCCGTGGCATCGATCTCATGGGTGGGGGGCACCCTGCCGGCTACGGAGTCAGCGGAGGTGGGTAGCCGCGCTGGAAAGACACAAGGACTGTCGCAATGGCGCCGGCCCAGGCAGGGTTCTGTTCCGTGGGTCACAGTCCGGACTGGGCAGCACCTCACCCACACCAGCTGCCACACGGGTTCAAGGAAAGGCCGTGGGGGCGGGCGCCGAGGGCACAGCGGAGGACCGGGCGCACAGTGCTCGGCACACGGCCCCGGGGCGCGCGCCCTGCCCTCCC